AGAATTATCACCTTCTTCCACCACATTGACATGGGTGTCGAAACCTTCAGCAGCTTCTATCATGGTGAAGTTGGTGTCGAAGCTTTCAGTAACTCCTACCATTTCAGAATTTTCTTCTGCCATGATCTCCATTTCGACCACGTTTACCATTTCTGGCTCAGCATAATTTGCCTCCACAATCTGCATGGGATTGGAGTCAATCTTCATCTGCTGCTTGCCTTTGTCTCCAAACTTCAACCTTCCATTTTGGATTGCATTTTGGACAAGATCCCTGAAAAGGTAACATTGAGAAGTTTTATGACCCAAGAAATTATGGTATTTGCAAAAACCTCTCTTTTTCTGTTGGTCTATAGGAGGCTCTTTAGTGCCTGCTGGTTTTATTAACTGACCATCTTTGACTAGTAAATCAAATATCTCATCACACTTGGTGATGTCGAATGTATAGGTTCTTTTAGGGAACCTGTCATTCTTTTCCATTTCGACTGGACTTTTTCCATTCGACGGGGCTAAAACTTTACAAGAATATGGAGGGCCTTGCTTTAATTCTGCAAGATCAATTTCTTGCTGGTCGAAAATGACTGGTTCGTTTTCGTCGTAATCATCTTGAACCATTCCTACATAGGCCACTCTTTCCTTCTTGTTTTTATTTGATCTAAATTTCTCATTTTTTAGTCTTTCTATCTGCCTTACTCTGTCTGCCAGCTGTGCCATGTCTCTCAGATATTGGGTATCCAATTTTTTCCTTATGGAATAATCAAGACCCCCTGCAGCCATTTCGACTAGTTCTTGTTCCGGCACTTGCGTAAAGCATCTGGCTTTTAATAATCTAAACCTATTCAAATAGTCATCTATGGGTTCAGAAAATTTTCTTTTGACACTTGCCAACTCTTTCAAACTTATCTTGGTTTGTCCCATATAAAATTGTTCATGGAACAATCTCTCTAATTGGGTCCAAGTAAAAATTGAAGTTGGAGGAAGTGACGTAAACCAAGTGAAAGCGTTTTTTGTCAAAGAACTTGGGAAATATTTCATCCTTAAGTTCTCGTTATTAGCAATCTCTCCCGCTTCTATCAAGTAACGTGCCACGTGTTCTATGGTGGATTCACTAGTATCCCCTGAAAATTTTGTGAATTTGGGGACTTTCCACCTTGGTGGTAACTCTTGTTGTAAGATAAATTCAGACAAGGGGGAAGTATAACTAGGCCTTTGTAATCCTACGTTTACTCCGTTTTGTGCCATTATTCTCTCCACCATGGTGGCAATATTATTTTCGACAGGCATGTTATTGTAACGCATTCTCTGCTGTAACACTTCGTCAGCATTTTGGTTTCTCTGGACTATTATCCTTCTTGGTTCCTGTCGAATAGGCTCTTCTACATTAGGCTGTTCGACCATCACCTCTTGCCCCCTGGGATTTTCCTGAGGGTTCCCTAAGGGCCTTTGGTTTATAGTGAGTTCCTCTTCGACAGCCCTATTGGCAGGATTCTGGTTTAATTGCATTCTTTGTTGTGCTTGTGGGACTCCAAAAAAATCAGCAATGCGTGCCATCTGTTCTGCCAATATTTGGTTTGTTTGGGTAGTGTTTTGTATTAAGGGATTGAACACGTCTCCCATTTGTTGTGTCAAAGCCTGCACCATATCATGATTGCTTTCATCCATCTGTTGACGGATTACTTGTGCAGAATGGTTTGTCATAGCGGGCATATGGAAACCTGGTGGAATTTGATTCATTCTATTTCCATTTCCACCATATCCTGATCCCTGCAATGGTGATGACACTTGAACCATGGCATCAGAGAATAATGGTGACGAATTATGTAGGCTTGCCATCATTGAAGTTGGCATTCCGTACGGTTGTTCTCTCCCAGTCAAAGGCTGAGAATAATTCAGATATGGCCTGAATGTATTTCCTCCAGGGGGAGGGGTTCCCAAGGGTCTGGCGTGTCCCATGGTGGAAGAACTAGGCGCATTCTGGGATCCTGAACCCGTTGGTATGGAATCCCCCAAAGGAGGCCTAATCTGTTCTAAAACAGGGCCAGACACTGGTATTGTTCCTGACGAAGGGATAGGATTGGAAACTGGAATGGTTTCGTCAGAAATATTTGAAGCATTTGGCAAGTTAGCCATGTTTCTTCTTCTTGTTCTCTTTGGTCTCTCTACGTCGGTTACGGCTAATTTACCGCTTCTAAGAATCATACAACGTAGCAAGGAACAATTTGTCTAAAAATTTCTATTAGATTTTATCAAATGCACTGGTCCCACTGGGCGTGCCAATTTGTTCGCTGTGTTTTCTGGCGAACAACCTCTGGTTAACCAATTTCTTCAGAAAGTTGGGTTACTTGCAGGACCAACCATACAAGTCCTGGGATACATGTGCATTTGGTTCTGTCGAAATACTCTTAGACTTTTGGTGACTAATTTGCGGTTTGTTTTATCAATATTGTCAAAGTATTAAGGACTTTGATTTTGCAAGTAACGAAGTTTGGACTTAAAGATGAAATAAGGTTAAAAGTTTAAACAAGAACAAAGAAATGTCGAAAGGCTAAAAACTTGCAAAAAAGTAAATGAAATTTAAAATGACATGGACTTGAAGAATAAACAAGTAATTTAAAATGACTTTGAAATATAACTGGTGTTTAAACGTACATTGTTCCAAATACTAGACTCATTTTCTCTCACACTGGGTACTTAGAGCTTTTACAGGAATTTTGTACAAATTTTCACACACACATTCTAACCACAAACTATCCTATTTATACACAAACAAAATAACTGCTTAGAACGGAAAAACTATAACTAAACGACAAGTGTCAGCCTGCATGTAAATTTCTTCTCTGAAACCTCCATGTGTCCAACTGCCAAAGGTTACAACCTTTGAATTTGAATCTCTTCCTTGGTGACGAAACCTTGTAACTCTTCAAAACTGTCGAAACCCTTTTAAAGGAGAAAAACTCTTCAGCACTTGCCAAACCTTATCTTTTTTTAACAAACTTCTTCTGTCGAAGCCCTCAGTCACACACTCTCCAAACTATTCTGCCAGAACATTATATCTATTTCTGTCGAAACAATGAAACTTTAAAACCTTGTCAGTAATTCTTGGATTCTCCTCCTGATGCTATCCTTCGACAAAGATGACCTTAAAGCCTGAATTTTAATCTTGTCGAAATTATGGTCTTGTCGAAATTATGGGTTTACAGTAGTCTACCCAAAAAATTTAATCGAATGAGTTAAAATATGAAAGTGGCGGTCGCCTATTTGTAAAATTTGTGAAAAATATCAATTGCTATTTAAATGAAATCAACTTATAGCAATTTGTTTCATCCCAAAATATAAACAAAGAGGAGGATAATATTTAAAGAAAAAAGGATTATCTATTAATAACGTTTTTAATTTGAGTTATATTAAAATGTAGAAATATTGTTCCGCCTTAATCGCAAACTTCAATTAGTTGTAATCTGGTCTACTGCAGAATTCTCTAAAAACATTAACACTTGAAGAGTCTAAAGACCGTTTAATCAGATAATCACTAAATCAAGACATCACAATTGTGTCGTTAGACCGATGACATCACTTTCTTATAGCTATAATACACTAGAAGATTCTAAGAGACGTGAGGTGGATATGATCAAAATAAATAAGTAGAACAAGACCGTCAAATCACATAATCATTGATCTTTTAGGACATGTATCCCATTTTTGAGTGTTATCTAAATTGCTATAATTAGCCTTTGAAAATATCCAATTAATGTACACCATTTCTGATTTAAGAATACTCTTCATGTTTCATATGGTTGCATGAATCACCCCTTCGACACATGGTCAAAGCATCAAACATATTTCATTTCATATACACCATGAGATCCAAGCTCAGTCACTTTTTTTGCAAGCATCTCAAGTTTAAAAAAAAAATGCGTTTGGATAACCTCTTCCTTCAAATTATCTTTTGAAATGAGAACCAATCTCATTTAGTGCAATTGGCTGAACTTGAGTAACCGTTTATTGTTCGCGATTCGTTAATCTTTCATACATGGCATGTTTTAACAAGGTTATATGAGGTTTTCCATAATAAGATTTTATGACTAGAAATAAATTAAAATGAACTGATATTAAATTAAATGTATAAGAATAAAAACCTAGCCAGGGGTATTTCATTTCTAGACGCAAAGAATAAATTTAGATTACCAGCAGCCAAAAATTGAAATAATTCATAGATATAGCCAAAAGTGATCACTGGTCAATTCTTATAGTAATGTTTCTGTGTAAGACAAGCATATTCTAATTCTTCTATCTCTTCCATAAATAACATCGCTTTGAAAACGAAGTGGATGGAGGAACAATCTAACTCAAATATATCAACAATAAAACCAAAATATATAAGAACCATTAAACCGAATATTGTCAAAAAAGAGAAACAATAAAATTATCAAAATTGCAACGGAAGTGTATGAACAGTAATAAATGGTGTGAACAGTAAAATTGATATCAGTACTTTTTAGGCAAAAAGATGAAAATAATAATAATCCCCACGGAAATAAATGTATGCCCAGAAACATATATTTGTGTGTAAACAAGAAAATGACACTTCACTGCAACCTTTTCAGCGTCTTCTTCAAAACCCTAAATTTTTTTCTATCATTACAATTACTACTTGCAATTCAGAATCATAGCCACAAAAACAATCACAAATTAATTAAATCAATCAACCAAAAAATTATTATAATTAACCCCCAAAACCCCAACCAAAAACAAAATCCATTTATAGTCCTATCAATTTCATGTAAAAAGCTAGCTGGATATAGTGTCTCAATCATTAAGAAAATTACAGGACACTAATTTCTTCTTCTCACTTCACACTGCAAAAGTGGGAACAAGTTAATATATAAGAGTACTTGTAGGAATTTATAATTGAATATTCTTCATACATACTAAAATGAATTAATAACTTCAAATATAAATAAATATTCATCCATCTATATATCTATGTTGTAGCTATAGATTTTTCATGCCGGTGATGGCTTGTTCCCCAAACGTAGCTCAAGATCAAGCTCTTCAATTTCATGAACCTTATCGTCAATGGAGGTGCAGATAGCAGGTTTGTTAGAAAAAGAAGAGATGCTTTGATTGATCAAGTTCCTAGCTGAATTAGCCTGAAAATGAAAAGATGGAGGAGAACAAGTTTGCATTTGCATTTGCATCATGAAGTTGTTTGTTGGATAAGATGATGATGATATAGAGAGAAAAGTTGAAGGAGAATCTCCATTAGAATCATTGAAGGAAGAAATATTAGGGTTTGGTGGATGGTAAAAAAGGCACAATCCAGCATTAACAAGCTCTGGAGGAGGGATATGTATGAACGGAGAAGAAGGATGATGAGGGGAATTTAAAGGTGGTTGATTTTGATGGAGACGAGCTCGGTCGCGGCGGTGGACATTCATATGACCACCAAGAGCTTGAGCTGAGCGGAACTCTCTTCTACAAAAAGTGCAGGTGTAGGATCTTGGTGGCCATGTTGTGTTCATGATGTTCCTTGTGTCTTCTGCAAAAGCTCTTACCTCCCATGAATCTTCATCTTCTTGTTCTTGATGTTGATGTTGTTTAGGGTTCCACATCCAAGTTGATGATGAAGGAGTGTTGGTGGTTGTGTCGGTGTTAGGGTTTGATGGTTTTTGGATCTGAGTAGTAGTCATGGAAATATCTGGAGCCATGGTACTGTTGCTGACATTTAAGATAGAAAGATAGAAAGATATCGGTGATATGGGGGATGAAAATGAAGATTAAAATAGTTGCTTATTTAAATATACTAAAGGATATTATTAATTTAGGAAGACAAAGTTAAACTTTAAAACAACAAATCGAATGTATCACCCATTAATAAATTTGAAGTTGGAACATAGCTTAATAAAGACAATTCTTTCCTTTGGCATCTACGCCATTGAAGGCAAACTATTTATTAATGTTTACATAAGATATTCAAATATGTAAAAAGGTTAAACATGTTGAAATATTTTATCATTTAATAGATTTCAATATTATGTTTGGCAAATACCTTCATAATTAATTATATTAGTTATTTATTAAAAGTTTTTATCTTTTGTGTATCTATCACTATTAAAAGATTTCAACACTATGTTGGCAAATACTTTTATAATGTGATTTTTTAAACTCTATTTCAACATTATGTTGGCAAATACTTTTATAATGATTTTTTAAACTCTACTTTTCAAGTACTTAGATCCTCTAGTAGGGGACGAATTTTTTATTGTCCTTTACATAGGAATTTTTAGTTAGTATTATCACTAGGCAGATTGACTCTTGGAGGTATAGGTATATTTTTTAGGAGGGCGGGTAATTTTTTTTGTCTATCATAAAAATAATTATTACAGTTTGAAAAAAGATTGTGTGAATTCAAAGAAGATTTTTGTGGAGTGGCGTTAAAGGAGGCTCTAAGGTTGCTTGAATTAGGTGGTATGATGTTTGCAAAACCAAGAGATTCGATGGCTGGCTTAGGTGTTCGTGACCTTTGGGTGGTTAATTTGGCTTTGTTAGATAAATGGAGGTGGCAATTGATTTTGGGTATTTCAAGATTATGACGGGATATCCTATATGCTAGGTATGAAGTTATTCAAACTACTGTCTCGGGTGGTAAAGTTGTCTCTCTTTGCTACGCATCTCCTTGGTGGATAAGGATGTCTTTTCTAGGTGGTCAAGGGGAGGATCCCAAATATTGGTTTTAGGATAGTGTTGTTAAGAAAGTTAGTTTTGGCCCCCTCTCTAATATCTGGAGTGATCCATGGGTGGATCTGATTCCACTCAAAGTCAGATTTCTGCAGCTTTTCTCTATCTCTTAGCAGAAGAAGTGATTTTGTGGGGGAGGTGAGTAAGTGGGAAAGGCAGTCTAGTATTTTTGAGCATGATCATACATGAATAATTAATCTTCTCTTAGTCGTTAGAGACTATACTCTTTCTTCCTAGTCTGGCAAGTGGTGGTGGTGCCACTCTAAAGATGGTTCTTACTCGGTGGCCTCAGCGTATTCCTTTCTCTGCACCCGAGATTTTCCAATGATCACCAAGTCCTAGTAATGAATTTAGTCCTTCAAAGTATTTTGAATAGTTGACCCTTCTCTAAAGTTATCATTTTCTCTTGGCAACTCTTGCAGAATATGATTCTTATAAGAGAACGATTTACTTAAAAAAATGGATCTTTCTTAGTTCGGTGGATATCTCTTGTCCTTTTTGTTTTAGAATTCTAAGTCGTCTGTTAATCTTTTTTGTGACCGGTAACGTAATGGTGGTCAATCTAGGCTTAGGGGAATGTGTCTTATGATTTGACATGTTATGATTTGGTTGATTTGAAAATCTTAGAATGATAATGTATTCTCAGGTAAACTACTGATTGCGAAAGATGTAGAAAACATGTGTATTCTTTTTGTTTGTAAATAGTATCTTAGTAGGCCTGTGGGGAACTCATGTACTTTCTTGTTGCTTCAGTGGAACTTAGTTGTTAGTTTTGTTTATTATAGGTTAGGGATCACTAGCTCGTTATTTATCCGGTGTCTTATTTTTGGCCTTTTAGTTCTCTCATCTTTTTTTTATTTATATATATTTCATTTTTGATAGGGTTTGTGGTTGTAGTATGTAGTTAAATTCGTTCTTGTTTTCTTTTGGCTGAATTGCTTTATACCTCTTGCATCTCTTCCAACCTTCTCATTTGTACGTTGTGTTTTGTGCCTCTTTACCTTTATTCTATATAGGTTTAAATTTACTATTTTGCCCTCCACCCTCGCCGATTTTTAACTTCCACTCCCCTTATTTTAAAAACCATCTTTTTGATATCTATATTTTACATCATTTGAGATTTAGTTGCCCCCCTCCAATTTTACTGACGTGGTTGTATGATTAGGATAAAAAAATTATTTTTAATGACTTGACAATATTGACTTGGATAATTTATTTATTAATATTTTTTAAAAAATTAATTAGTACAAATTTTTAAATTAATTTTATTGGCTTGAAAATAGTATATTTGTTGGTCCGTGGGTATCTTCCATGCTTTTTGTATCTGAATCGAGAATCTTATCATATATCTGAGTCAACAGTGGTCTGAGTGTCTTTACCTCTTATTTTGTTCTTGGTGTAGATAGTGGTTATTGTTTCCTTTATCTTATCTTTGGTTGGGGAGAAGAAATGTCTTTAAAAAGAGTTAAAAGATCAATATTAATATTTTTAAATTAAACGATTAAAATAAACAAAGAAATTAACATACACAAAAAAAAATATTAAACAAAAAATCTAAGAGAGTGAAATTAAAAAAAAAATTATTTTGGAATTTTAACTCCGAATACATGTTTTAAAATAAGTGATTAAATGTATTATATATATATATATATATATATATATATATATATATATATATATATATATATATATATATATATATATATATATATATATATATATATATATATATATATATATATATATATATATATATATATATATATATATATATATATATATATATATATATATATATATATATATATATATATATATATATATATATATATATATATATATATATATATATATCCACCTATTTTTATGAAGGTGTGTTTTAGCAACATGTATTTTAAGGTGTATTTAATGAATTTTTAGTTATTAATTACTAACACACTTCTTTTAAAAAATAAATAGATGTACTATAAAAAATGTTTAAAGGAGATGTTAACTTACATCCACTTATTTTTTAGAATGTGTGTTTTAGTAGCATACACTTTAGGGTGCATTTAAAAAATGCACCATTTTTTAATTAAAACATACCTTCATAAAAATAGATGGGTGTATCTCAACAAAACTAAATCTCTTTACCATATATAGGTTCTTTTTAATGTTTGAAGGAAATTTTTTACCATCTTTAAAAAAATTGAAAAAAATTAAAAAAATTTTAAAATATAATAAGGTTCATCATTGAACAAAGTTCATATTAGACGATCTCACGTAATTTAATATTTCAAATTGTTATATAATTATTTTTTTATTTTTTTTATATTTTTAATAATAAATTATTAGTAGTTAGTATTTTGTTAGAGACGGAACCTTAAACTTCAAAATCCTTTAACTTGTAATAAAAACTTAGATTTGCAATCTTAAGAATGAGGTTCAAATAACAATATTATAAATGATCACTATTTTCCTATCAATTAAAAATTATTTTTCTTCTTCAATTTAGTTTATAAATAAATGGTCACATTGTTCATTTTGTTAGTGATGTACATTTGGACCACCTAGATTGTATGTATCTTCATGATTGTGAGGGCGTGATCTGCCCTCATGCTCTGCTTTATACATTGATTTCTTGTTATTATTATTACTTTTTATTTTATTAAATTAGAATACCTCCTATTCTTATTTAATATAAATCTCTTTATTCTTCAAACCCTTATTCTTAATTTAATTTAATGTGAGAGCTAAAGAGTGCTGAGAATTTTTAGCACTATAAAGTTGAATATCTTCTTTTTAAGTATTTAGAGTTGTTGGTATGAATTAATTCGAGGATGGAAAGTATCTGAAAACTTATGGTTAAGTTGGTAATAAAAAAGTTGATTTCTTAAAAGTGTAAGTTCGTTAGTCTTAATGGAAAGGTGATCCTTCTAAACTCAGTTCTGAATTCTATATGAATTTTATTTTTCTCTTTATGAAGATGTTAATGATAGTGTGGAAGAAGTTCGTTCAGATGTAGAGACATTTTCTTTAGGATGAGTTAAAAGGTAGGACAAAGGTGGTGTGAGTTAAGTTGGAGAATGTGTGTAAATCTAATGGCCTTGGAGGTCCCGGGGTTAAGGATTTGCGACTGTTGAAGTTGTCTCTTTTTTAAAAGTGGGGGTAGAGGGTTAATGAGGAACAACCTTCCTTGTGGAGGGATATCATCTCGCCTAGGTATGAATCCAAGCTAAATGATTTCTCGGTGGGGGGAGGAACTAGGGTCTTAATAGGGATTTTATTGATGGGAAGATGTTTCTTTTCTAGGCTCCAAGTTAGATGAGTTGTCATATTGGTTTGCCTCTTCTTTTAGTAAGGTGGTAGGAGATGGGATGCATACCAAGTTTTGACATAATGTATGAGTAAGGTCCACTTTTTTAGCATTATGTATGAGCGATTATTTCAAGTGTCACTACTACGAAAAACATATACAACAACGGTTGGAAAGGGATAACATCACGCGAGACTTGTTGTTGTTACATAGGGTGTGATTGTATATGCGCAACTTACATTCACGGTCTTACGACCATTGTAGAAAACCTGAATGCATGCTATATATGATCACAGTTTCTTTAACTAACTATGGTGGTATACACCTTTAGGCAAATAACATTTTATAACGGTTATTATAAATAATCGTTCTTGAAAGTACCCAGTGTTTACTATATAATATGTAAATTGCTTGTTTTTCAATAAACTTCACAACAACATACAACTATTCAAATTGATGAAGAAATATATAATCTGAAAATTAAACTATTCTTGAAAGCTAACTTACACAAACCACTGTTTTTCAAATTGCATGTGTCTCATCATTCATTTCCTGCTTTTTAACATATAGAATATGGTTCAAGTCTAAGTCATTCATCACATCAACTCCTTCTATTCTAGTTTAATTTGAATGATATCAATAAATTATTGTTATTCAAATTAAACTATAAGAGAA